AAAAACAAAAAAACAAACCTAAATGAAAGATCTCTGTGAGTGAGATCCCAGTGGAAAGAACAGGACGTCAAAAAGGAGGTACCTTTCTCTGAAGGGAGGAGAGAACTTCCACTTTGACTATGACCTTGTCTAAATAAGATTGGAGTTGGCAAACTCAAGAGGCTTTCATAGCCTTGGCAGCTCATGACAAGAGCCTAGGGTGATTACTGATGCCATAAAGAAGAGTGTCAATTTGTTAAGTGAACAACAGGAGTCACTGTGCACTTACTCCCCATGTAGGATCTCTGTCCTTAATGTGTTGTACAATGTGAATTAATGCTATAACTAGTACTCAAACAGTACTTTACACTTTGTGTTTCTGTGTGGGGGCAAACTGTTGAAATCTTTACTTAGTATATACTAAATTGATCTTCTGTCTATAAAGATAATTGAAAATGAATCTTGATGTGAATGGGATGGGAGAGGGAGCAGGAGATGAGATGGTTGCAGGTGGGAGGGAGATTATGGGGGGAAAAAGCCACTGTAATCCAAAAGCTATACTTTGGAAATGTATATTTATTAAATAGAAGTTAAAAAAACTAAAAACCTTGTTTTATAAAAAGGCAGAAGATTGAGGAATCTAATTCACTCAGTGTTGAAAATGCTTAAAACGTGTCTTCTTATAATGATTTTCATTGTAATTGGTATCAAACTTGGAAAGAATGAAGAACCTGGACACCTCTAAACACCAAGGAAAGGGTGCAAAGCCAACTTCTCCAATGACCTGGTTTGCTCAGGGGTGGGAGCTGAGAGCACTATGGCGTTTGCATGCACATTTATGCTGAAAAGCTGAGAGTGTGTTGGGCTCAGACTCATAGTGGGAAGAGGGCGAGAGAGCAAGATGTGGAGGGAAGCATCTGTGGAGGCCTGAGCTTCAGTCCACAGGTGACGGTAGTGGCCCTTAGTTTTATTCTTACCGACTTTTATTGTGGCAAGATACACATGATATGAAATTGACTGTCTTAATCACATTTGGTTTTAAGTTCATATTGTAGGTATTGAAATTGACTACTCTAATCTCACATACATGGAATCATACTGCCTTTTTAGTGACCAGTTTATTTCATTTAGCATAATGTCCCCAAGGTTTATCCATATCATAGCCCGTGTCAGAATTTCCTTCCTTCTCCAGGCTGAACAGCACCCTATGTGTGTCATGATGAATTGGATAATGTACCTGCCCAAAGTCTGAATATGGGAACCTTCCCCTCCATAGCACCATTTGGAGCTGTTGTCTTTGGGAGATCATGAGGGTGTGTGCAGCCCTCGTGTGTTGGGGGGGGTGTCCTTACAAGAAGACAGAGAGCTGGGGAGTTGTCCTTCTGACAGGAAGTAAGACAGCAGGAAGTCGGCAGTCAGCAAGCAGACAGAGAACCCTCACCAGAACCCACCATACCTGCCCTGATCTTGGCCTTCAGCCTCCAGGACCACGAGAAGTAGATTTCCATGCTTTGGGAGCCTCCCAGTCTACCGGGTTCTTTTGTAGCCTCCCAGAGTGACCTTGAGTTCCAGCTGTTCTATTTTGCCTTCCCCAGTAGTCCATCGGTGGACACCTGTGTTGCTCACAAATTTCAGCTACTACAAACAATGCTTCTACGAACATAGGCATGCACAAATCTCTTTATGTTGCTCCTTTTCAGGTCCTTCCAGCATATTGCCCAGATGTGGTATAACTAGATCCAATACAAATGCTGATTAATTTTTTGAGGAACCACTAAGATCTTCTCCAGAGTCACTATATCGTTTCACATCACTAGCAACAGCAACAGTGCAGGGGAATTTCAATTTCTCCACCTCCTCACCAACACTTACTGTTTCCTGGTTTTTTTTGTTTATTTGTTTGTTTTTCCTTTCTGATAGCAACCACTTTCATGGGTGTGAAATGGTACCGCATCATGGCTTCTTGGCCATTTCTATGTCTTCTTTGGAAGAAGTTGCCAAAGGCTTGTTCCCACAGAAGGAGCAGACAGGTCCTCCCAGGGCCAGAGAAAATGCATTCTCCAGAATCAGCAGAGCACTCTGAATGGGTCGGGAAAGCAGACCACGAGTGACTTCCGGGTGGGCCGGGAAGGAGCACCGATGCTGATCTGCATGACTGAGAGGCAGCAAAGCAGCCACACAACATAGCCACCCAGAGGGAAAGGCAAGGACAGCTTCAGCGACCCTCAGCAGGTACTCTCCTCCAAGTCTGTGTCCCAAGGCCTTGAGTGGCCACTGTGGCGACCTCTGTGAGCTCTGCCATTGATAACTTGCATAAATCTAGACATCTTAGCTGCATATTCACTTTGTAGGATGCATCTTAACTTGACTTTCTGTAGGATTGGAAGTATACATCCAAGGCTTTGAGGAGGACCGAGTGTTAATAGCACACAAAGTGCTTTCAAATGTATTCAGAACCTGTGTTACTGCTTTGGCTGCTTATCAAGAGAATGCCTAACTTTGTTCTGTGAAACTGAAGTCCTGAAAAGGAATCTTAAAAGTCTTTCTTTCTGAGTGGAAATAAGATGGCAATGTAGTTCAGATCCTTATATATGCTTTATGTTATTTATATATAAATATGTTTATATATTTATGTTTATATTCCATGAAGATGGCAGAGATCTAGCCATGGTAATTACTCCACTCCAAAGGTAGGATTTGTAAAACAGGGAGCGCAGATGACCTTCCAGCCAGTGCACCCAGGCCCCGCTGTGCAAAGACCAGCCTTTCACAGATGTGCCGTGAGGTTCTGGAGTGACAGGGAGGAGTCTAGGCCAGACCCTCTGAATACGAAACTGCTCCTGTGTTAGCCAGGTACCATCAGCACCCAGAAACATTATTCTGCCATTCTCATCCCATTATAACCTTTGGAATAAAAGTAATAGAATTACATCTGTTAGAATGAATTGTGACTCTTATCTGTAGAATAAGAGCCAAGAGGATATTTTGGTTTGAATAAGAAGTATAATTCAGGCCAAAATGGCTTGCAGATTTGAACTTCCAAAGATGATGATAGCTCACCACTTCTCTTGGCTGACATAGAAATGATCCCAGCTCCTAAGATGAAGTTTCTAGGAAAAGTCAAAACCAGCCAGCACATTTTTAACTATGGATAGCAGGAAAGGAAAGGAGATGAGACAGCAATCATTACAAAATTATAATGTTAGTCATCCAAAAGCATTTTATAAAGCTTTGTTTCTATATTCTATAAATCGTATTCCAGCTGCACAAACTGTACTAGAATGTGCGGCAGCCTTCACAAAAAATAATAAATAAATAAGCAAACAAACAAACAGATACAGAAACGGACTAGGGACCATTTTTACAGCAAAGTGGCCATAAAGCAGATTTTGGAATTTCATCAATATGACATCATTCCCAATGTGACACGGGAGAGGCCGCCCTCCGTCTCCCTCCCTCTCTCCCTCTCACACACCCCCTTTTCCTCTTAAAGAGATGATGAAGCTGACTGTGCAGCACAGGAGGATCATAAAAACCTGTATCCCTTAAGCTGAATTCAGCCCAATGAACTGCACAAACAGCAATAACCAAAACAAAGCTAGCAGGAAACGTTTGCACACAGCATCTGCTATGATCGCATAACCACGAGACAGCTGTTTAATCCCAACTGTTAACATAAGATCATTTGTGTGTTTGAAGAGCGAGCCCATTTGGGTTTTCCCCTTTATTTATTTATTTTCTAGCTTTTCCAAGAGCGAGGCTTTCTCAGCTGTAGGATGCAATTGTTCCTGGCTTTTTCCACTATCACCCTCAGCTTCCGAACGAGCCGGGTATGTGGTTTGCTAACTAGAAATACTCAGAGGGGATGAGAGTGGCTGTGTGGTCTCCTAGCTAAGCAGGACATGCCCTTCTCCTCCTCTGTGGCCCGTCTTCTGCTCCCCAGGACATTCATAAAGCGTTCTGGTCAGATTATGGGAAGAGGCCCTCACATGTAACACGTCTGGTGGTCTCAGCTGAGTTCTGGTGCGGCTGAGTTTTCTCAGCACCACCCAGGATTGGAACTGCTCCCTGAAAATTTCCGTTCCAAATCTGAAAACAAAGTCATTAGGCTCGCAATTGCCTGGGAAGGGCCAGGAAGGATGTCTGAAGTTTGGGTGGTCTGAGTGCCCGTTCTGGAAGCCTGAGCGCCCATCCAGACACCATGGGATGGTGAGTGAGACAGCCGTGCTTCTTCCTTTTCACCTATGTTGCAGCTGCCTGCCTGCAGCCCTCCCAAGAGCTTGGTGGAGATAGGCCTGCTAGGCTACTGAACTGTGGCCAGCCTGACACACAAGAGACTGATGACAGTGATGAGCAGGACAGAGCTGACCACGTGGTCCTTGGGTAAAGGGACTTGGCCATGGCAATCAGACAAGCATTAACTTCGAAAGCTGCCTGAAATTAGCATGACATGCATCTTTCTTCACATCCTCTGTCTTTAAATATTTTATTCCACTGAATCCTCCATGTTGATCTCAACGTGATGGCATGTAGTAGGAAGTTTATCTCTAAAGGAAAATTGAAAGCTGAAGTGCTTCTGCAAAAAAAGCTTAGAAGTAAAAGTCTTAACCCTAAATCGTAGGACAAGTTCATTCCATACCAACCTTGGGAATCTAAGAGACTTTACACTCCTCACTCCTGCTCAGCTTCAATGTTTTAAACCTGTAAGCTGTTTAAGAGCAACTTTGCATCCTTTTGAAATGAAAAATACCACAGTCATGATTTTTGAAAGACCTATGGATTTCTCCTGAATTCAACATTTTTGTTCTCTTTTGTGTCTCCATCTCCTCACACTTACAGCTTTCACTCCCCTGCCTCCAACCTTCCTCTCAAAGATGAGCTAAAGGAGACTCCTAGTTGTTAATTTTCTAACAACAACAACAACAAAAGTGGTCAGAAGTTATTGACAATCGATGTTAGAAAAGGCATTTAGGTCACCCTATGGTGAGAGTTCTTACCACACTGCGATAAAAAGCTTTTACCTTTCACCCAGCATTCCTTTGCATCCCATGGCGAGGAGGGCGAGTGACTGTGGTCTCTAGAGACTGGGAACGTCCATCTTAATGTTCAACTTCCCCTGGACCGGACAAAATCACCAACATCTTTAATGGGAGAAAATCCTTTATCGACTGATTCATTTCCATGTTTTGTTCTTGCAGCCAGACAGGATTTCCTGCAAGGTGGCAAAGGGAGGGAAGCTCGGTACTATCCGCTTCTGATCTGCCGTTATTACTACTGTTATTGTTATTTCTGCTCCCAGCTTGCTGTTAGGTGCATCTACTGACTTTCATGGGTATTGTCCATTTTCAGTGATTGTCTACTTTCTTCTCTCTTTTCTCTTTCTAACCAACTTTCAAACATATTCTCAGCAGGATGTAGGAAGTTTATCTTTGCTAAAAAAAGAAGTCATACCATTTACCATTACTACTGTTGTTAAAACCAAACAGCGAAATGGTTATTACGTATCCTGAGTTACTGAATAAGAGCCCTGGTTAATTTTGTTTTATTAATTCTGACACTAAGTGGGAAAATAGTTTTGACTGATTTTGTAAGAAGAGGAACTCACTGCCTGAGATGGAGAAAGAAACCCCACAATGTGAGCAGGCGCCCAGAAGTCGCATGTATCTCTTACACACTCACTGCTCAGCTAAATCCAGGAAATGAATATCATACTGCGTGGGGCTCTGTCCCAGTGAGTGCTGAGGTGACACAGGAAATGTAGAGGACAGGACGGTGATCTGGGGAGGACTGGACACACAGCTGGACCCTGGCTCCTTCCTGTGACACCACACTGGGATATTTAGACCCCAGGAGAAGAGCCTCAGGCATCTGCCACCATTCCCTCACCTTTGAGATCAGCCACATTTGTTGCTGGATGAAGTTTACCAAAGGGTCTTTCTGGATTATTACACTTGGCTGTATTTTTGTCAGAAACAAAATGCAACCTTTAAGGGCAGCAAATGTCTTGGAAACAAAAGCTTGAGGATCTTCCCTTTGATCCATGGTAGTGCTCACACAGCGTAGGGCAGATCTTGGCAAGCGATGATTCAATAGCAAACAGGATTTTAAGAACACGAGCATCTGAAGTGAGGCCAGGTAGACAGACAATGCTTGACACCACCAGGAGGAGGAAAACCGAGACACTGACCAGCTCCAAATTCAGCAAAGTTAAAGGAATTTAACGAGACAGTCTCCCCATTCTGGAATCTTCTTGCTTCCTTGTGTAATACGCCTTGTGGGGAGGCAGCTGACTTTCAGCCTGGTCTTGAATGTAAGAGAAAATGAAGGCAGAAAATCAAGTAAATCAACAAGGGAAATGCAGGTGGTAACTTGAGGTCAGGGCTGTTGAGACTGTGTGAGTTGGTGGGGGTTGGTTTCTCTGGGTCAGGGCTGTGGACACTGTGTGTAAGTAGGGGGACTCAGGGTCAGAGCTGTGGATGCTGTGGGGGGGACTCAGGGTCAGGGCTGTGGACACTGTGTGTAAGTAGCGGGACTCAGGGTCAGGGCTGTGGACACTGTGTGTAAGTAGCGGGACTCAGGGTCAGGTCTGTGGACACTGTGTGTAAGTAGGGGGACTCAGGGTCAGGGCTGTGGATGCTGTGGGGGGGACTCAGGGTCAGGGCTGTGGACACTGTGTGTGTAAGTAGGGGGCTCTGGGTCAGGTCTGTGGACCCTGTGTGTAAGTAGGAGGACTCTGGGTCCGGGCTGTGGATGCTGTGGCGGGGGGACTCAGGGTCAGGGCTGTGGACACTGTGTGTGAGAGTAGTGGGGACTCTCGGTCAGGGCTGTGGACACTGTGAGTAGGGGACTCTGGGTCAGGGCTGTGGATGCTGTGGGGGGAACTCAGGGTCAGGGCTGTGGACACTGTGTGTGAGAGTAGTGGGGGCTCTAGGTCAGGGCTGTGGACACTGTGTGTGAGAGTAGTGGGGACTCTGGGTCAGGGCTGTGGATGCTGTGGGGGGTACTCAGGGTCAGGGCTGTGGACACTGTGAGTAGGGGGCTCTGGGTCAGGGCTGTGGATGCTGTGGGGGAACTCAGGGTCAGGGCTGTGGACACTGTGAGTAGGGGGCTCTGGGTCAGGGCTGTGGATGCTGTGGGGGGAACTCAGGGTCAGGGCTGTGGACACTGTGTGTGAGAGTAGTGGGGACTCTGGGTCAGGGCTGTGGATGCTGTGGGGGGGACTCAGGGTCAGGGCTGTGGACACTGTGTGTGAGAGTAGTGGGGACTCTAGGTCAGGGCTGTGGACACTGTATGTGTAAGTAGGGAGGCTCTGGGTCAGGGCTGTGGACACTGTGTGTGAGAGTAGTGGGGACTCTTGGTCAGGGCTGTGGACACTGTGTGTGTAAGTAGGGGGACTCAGTGTCAGGGCTGTGGACACTGTGTGTGAGAGTAGGGGGACTCTCGGTCAGGGCTGTGGACACCGTATGGTGGGAGGAGCACTGGACTGGATCTGTGGACATTCTCTGTGGAGCGCCCCATGCTGCTGGTTTCATTTTTTTTTTTTTTTTTTTTTTTTTTATTTTTTTTTTTTTAGGTAAAACTCTGCACATCCTCAGCAACCTGTCTGTCCTGTTCCAGGCAAGTCTTTTGCTTCCCCTCACTAGTGTTTCCTTTCTGCATCCTCACAATCTCCTGCCCACCCACCTGTCCTAGTTTTTCCCGTGATTCGTGTCCTGGAACTTGAATGTCTTTGCAGTTCAGCTTTGACTTTCCTCACCTGTTTGCCTTCAAGATTAGAGCAGTGTTAGCCCAGGGGAGTTTCTGCTTCTCCTGTGCTTCTGGCACACTGTCCAAATTCTCCCGTGACTCTTAGTGGAGGACTGTAGCTGAGAACCTTGCTCAATGCCTCTTAGATAAGACACAGCAGGCACAATTAGGGGCAGCACCAAAGCTGACTGTCCACACATTCTTTGGAAAGCTCAGAAAACGTTTTACAATGTCTTATATGGTATTAGACTGTTTCTCCTCTATACACCCAGTGGGACACAGGCACCATGGAGACAAGACTGGCTCACCCCATTTGCCCCACAAATCTGGCTGGGTGTTACCTGGCATGATATGAAGGGCATTCAGTTCCCCTCATTATGCCAATTCCAGAGAATATTTTAAACCTTCAAATATGTTTTGAATTTGTTAATGGACTTAGTGGCTGTCTGTTTTGTTATTCTAGACTAAATTGGTAGACAGGTTATTTTGATATTGAAAACAGGAATAAGCTTAACAATTGAATCCAAATATGTTTAAGTTTTTGAGGACTATTCATTGAGTAAAAATCACTGTGAGAAAAGTAATCTAAGAATTTTATATGAAAAGAAAATATATACCAGCCAATTCCCGATACCTCATTCTCTCACACAACTGAAGAGGTAAATTGAGGCAATTATCGCAAACACCTTTCCTTAATTATGGAGGTTGCATAAGTAAGCAAGTTCTGGACTGAAAATGTTGCAATAATTATTTTAATTTGCAGTTTGCTTTGCATGTGAAGACATAGCCTCAGTAGCATGGTCAGTTATAATTTTGTGTCTAAAGTATGGAGCTAAACACATTTGAAAACAAAAATGAATCCAACAGATATTTTGGTACCACTGCTAACTTGATTTCTTGCAGCTTCACTCCTCTGTTTCATATTTTCCAAACTTTCTATAATGAGCATATGTAACACCTATTATTTGAAACGAGTGAGCCTATCAAAAATCACATGAGAGTAAGACACCATGAATGAATCCACAGAGTTGCTCAGTGGGTGCTCTGGATCCCTAGAAAGTAAGTCTGTCACCAAGTCCTTCTGTTAACTCCCGGCATCTGCCCTCATCCGCTCCCGAGAAATCGAATGCTGAACACTAGGGGACAATTCTAGTTCAAAGATCTTTTTCAGATGTGCAGAGTTCATCTCTGTTACGGAAAGCCGAGCCTGTTCTCTGGGCTGCCCCTAGGACTTGCTTGCTTCGTGTCGGTGGTCCCTGGCTCCCTCGCTTTGGCCCCAGCACTTCTCTTCAGTGGAGGAGGAAGAGCAAAAGCAAGGACAATGGTTCCTCTAAACCCTTGCCTTGGGGCAGACCCTCAACAGCAGTGCCATCATTGCTTTGCATACGTCCTCATAGTCCACCAGTAACCCTGGGTGGTAAAATTATGGTCTCCATTGTATCAATGAGCAGAAATGAGGCAGGGAGAGAATACTTTGTTCCCAAGGTCACAAAGTCAAGAAGAACTGGCAAAAAATGTGAATGCAGGTGCGGCTGATTGTCCGCCCACACTTCAGCATCTTTGCCCCAGAGTGTGTGATGCTGCTGGAAGTGACTCAGAAAGCTCCCAGAGAGAACCAAGAGCTTCCCTTCAGCCTCTCGTGCCAAGGCCATGCCAGCATGGGTCAGCGGACAAAGCCTACAGTACGACCAGGCCTGTGAAAAACATGAACCCTTCAAAGTTACTTTCTTTCAGAGTTCACTTAGAGATTGTCTTCCTGTTGGGGCGGGGGGGGGGGGGGTGCAGGAAAAAGGGAGATCTAATCATTAAATTTGTGTTTGGGTAGCATTTTGCTTTTTTCTATGTTTTATTTAAGGGGAACTGATACAGAGAGAAGAGAGAGAGAGAGTAACATAAAGGGAGACAGAGAAAGGTGTGTCACATCTGCTGGTTCTTCCCCCAGGTGCACAAAATGGCCCAGGAGGCCAAAGCTGGGAGCCAGGACCTCAGTCCAGGTATAGACAGCAAGAACTGAACACCTGAAGCTGTTAGCAGTACCGCTCAGCGTCTACACTGACAGAAAGCCAGAGCTGGGGGCGGAGCCCAGTGGCGACAGTCATCCATGTTTATATACACCCACGTTGATCTATGAAAAAGAAAATAGTAAAGTAGGTTTGGCCCATGAAATACATAATACTTTAGGGCAATGTTGTTGCTGTTGTTAGTGTTCTTGGAATGAGTTATAGATATTGAATGATAAAGTCCATTTGAAGCTTCTTAAATCTATCAATCCCTC